TCATTGAAAATTGTATTGACAGAATTTAATTACATTAATAAGGGGGCATTCATTATTGATGTGGGGGGGGGGATGGGTGAGAAACTGGGGGGACCTGAGATTTTCCCAGATGAAAAGGGGGACTGCAATTCTGGTATTAAAACCAAATCCTGGGGGTACCTGACATTGAAGGAAGACACATCTACACATTTCAAAATTCATGGTGAGGGTAAAAACAAAAAGAAATCAGATTTACATAAACTTCATCTTAATTTATTTATGAAGTTATCAAATACGTCATTTCTGAAGTTATTCAAAACACTCACAGTACATGTTTCATCACATCTATTAAAACACTTGGGTATCACCTCGTGTTATATTAATCTGATAAAAGGTTGCTGTTGGTACTTTGAATATATTTTAATACAATATAATAACTAACTTTCTTTTCTGCTCTCTCAGTCCCTGCTATACAATTGTACAAACATGTACATACTACATTTAGACACAAATATGTACATTTAGATTTAATGTACTGTAGTGTTAAAAAAATAAATGTGACTGTGTGTAGTACTCTTTATTGTCAATAAAAAAGAGTTGTGCCATAACTTCAATTTGTTCTTCTCCATTTTGGCATCCTGTGCCATCACTTCTGGTACCTATATTAATTAAACAGATCATTATTATACCACAATCATGTTATTACACATCTTTAGTAATTAACAAAAATATAATATGTATTGCATATATGTTAACCCTTTAAGTGGCAATGCACCCTAATGTACTTTAGGGGAGAACACTGCCACTCAGTGGTTAATCAGACAATCTTCTGCATGGTTATGCATGACTATTTTACTCGTCACTTGGAGCTAGTGCTCATGACACTCAATGAAATATAAATCAAACTATCTGCATACCCAATGTGCCCAACTTTAGTTAATCTTACTCTGTCTAACACCAGATTATTTTACACGATCTGTCTAATGCCAGACAATTTTACTTGTCAAGGGGAGAGCACTGCATGGTGCTCCATGGGTTAAGGCAAAAAAGTTTAAAGAACTACGATATCCAACAACACAAAGTACATGGTCATATGGTGGCAACCTCAATCCCACAATAAGTGGTCCTCACTGCCCCACAACCCCATATATAAACACTGCTACAAAAAGCCTGGCAAAAGTAGGACTTGCTTGTCCAAGCTCAGTGAGACTTGTTCAATGTGGGGGAATGCAATGCAGCCTTGTTCACAGGACATGAAGTCTGTGCAGTTTCTGGACTATCACTTTCTGCTAAACCTACTGAGAGAGATTGTTAAATCTAGCTCAAAAGATAGTTTCAGTTATACCATATCTTGTCTCTAAAACACATCATAGGCAAGCATCATGCTTATCCAACTTTTGCACACTGCTTTAAACACTCCCAGGTCCTGGGTATTTTGTTCCCTCTGTCCCGCACTCTCTGTCTTTGTGCTTATCTATATATTAATCCTGATTCACACCATATATAATCTGTACGACCGTGTGAGCAAGTGAACAACCACAATTATTATAAATCATTAAAAACTGGCAAGAAAAAACGCAAAACAACATAATTTCATGTCCACAATTTTCAACGATTATAAACAGGATTTATGTGTCCGTACCCCGGTTCCAGAGGCTCTTTCATGTGTCTGCTATTGAAATATTTGCTGTATATATATAGTAGCATGAGTTTTGGACTTATATTATAGTCATTTGACTCATTTCGAGAGTCATTTTATATCTAGCAACTAGCAAGGTTCTACAAAGTAAAAATAGTTTCACGAATCTTACCTTGAAAGAATAGTTAATCTTTCTTGATAGTGAATTGTTGCATCAACAAACGAAACAAAACGGCACTTTTCCTCCACGTAGTAAAACAAGTAAAGTGCGAGGGAAAGATTTTCTAGCTCAAAAACAACCGAAAACCTCTAAATTCTGAAAAGACTGAAATATTTGTGTAAAAACAGGGGGGTGCAGGACTTTGTTTAGTGCTTCGGATCGCGGTTGGTCAGTGGCAATTACCATGGAGACTTCGGACCAGTTATCATGGAAATGGCGTAAGCGCCGCTATGTTTTTGGCGACACTCTTTCATGCCGAGCAGGTCCTCCAGTAATATAGTATAGCTCAGTGGTGATAATTCTCTATATCACCATAGAGATATCACGCCACAACTCCATATTTGGTCAGCCATTGAATTGATATGCAATTTTTCCGTTGGCTATTAGCCAATCAGAAATCACGAATTTTAGCACTCTGGGTACAGTAGGTATAAGGTTGCATGGATACAGTATATGTAGAAGTTTCTTTAGTACATTCAATTTAATAAATCTAAATAACAAGACGCATTTAAGTTTTATTTCATTCATATTGAACATTGAAGTCTTTTTGCATGAAATCTAGGTCGGCGAATACGGAAACTTTGCCTCTCATTGTCTTCTGAGAGATTTACGACCAGAAGGTAAGAAGCAATAATTTGCACGATTGAGTTTTTCAAAGATCATCAAAGCACGAGTCCGAAGGACGAGTGCTAGTTGAGGTCTTTGAAAAACTAACGAGAAACCATCTTATCACGTATATTATTAATATAGTACATAGAAATGTTCGAGACAATTGTAGTTTTAAGTTCCGTTTATAAAGCGAACCGTCCACTGACAAAATTTTGTTTCGTGCTTTGCTATATCACATATAATATACAACGCTAACGGCTTGAAAGTTTCACTCAAATATATACTGTAAGTGTTGCTAGTCTTGTTTAAGGTATATAGTCTTTTCCATTAAAAACAATATAAATGCCATATTTTCCACAACTTTTACTTCTGTAGCGCGGCTGCCATGTTTGTCTTGTTTTGTTTTGAAGCATCTGTGACCGTTACTCGACGACTGCTTTAAGCTGATTTGTTTGATTTTATGTAGATCCCAATGTTTTTTCAACCAATCAAATCAGTTTGTTACAGATTTTTGCACTGTTGTTACAGAATTTTGCACTGCTCTTTGAAGTTGACTGCACTAGTGAAATCAACCAATCACAGTCGAGGAAATGTTTATGTATATTATTAATAATATTAAAGTAAATATTATATTAGAAAAATTCTATCCCCTATAGCAGACTAATCACACTTTTTCTTGTTAGGTTCCACTGTACGGAAGATTCCTTATCCGACATCAAACCCAATGACATTCATGTTTAATTTAGTATCCTGTCCAAACTACACATACGAGGTATATACGGCTGTATATTGTAATTTAAGCTATATTTTCTGTCTGACGTGAATTCTTCTGTTTGGACGACTTGCGTTCTGAAATTTGTTCAAATGAAGTTGAAGAAAATAAGTAAAATAATGCATGTTTGCATGATCGAATGTTTAAAGATAAATAGGCGGTCTTGGTAGGACAGTATAGTTTCACTTCTGCATCTGAGTGGCTTCCATTCCTGTAATGTGGACTTTTCTAATTCTAACAAGGTACACTTCATTCGTATGTGAGAAGTGCTTCCACTAAACACTCAATCACCGCATTCTATTATAGGTGTTTTCGTGGTTGTTCTTCACCGTGATGACCCAAACCTTTCCTGGTATGAAATTTTTGCTGTATGCCTGCATGCGTATATCTATAATTATTATTGTTGAGTATTTTGAAGTACACTGTATGACCTCAGAATGAATCCCAACAATTTGCTGATGACTTTCAGTCCTTGCTTTGTTTTATCATAGTGGATAGAATGGAATTGGAAGCTCATTAGAATAACAATATAATTCATTATCTATGTTAGTCAATGTTTATTCATCAAATTAATCAGGTCCTTCACCGTCACGTACGTATTGTATTTTTGCCCAACTAACCAATAGCAATGTTTTAGGAAATTTACTTATCCGTGACTCGAACAATAGGGTAAATTAGAAATTGCTATTGGTGGATTTGACAAAAATACAATACACACGTGACGGTGAAGGACCGTATTTATGAATAAACGTTGACTAACATAGATAATGAGTTGTATTATTATTCTAACGAGTTTCCAAACCATCTACTCTATTAACTATGGTTTTATATTTTTACATGCGATTGCCTAGTCTCCCTCGCAGCCGCTTTTTGTTTGGGGAAAAACGATACAAATAGGCGTTTGCGAGAGAGACTACAGTATATATGGCCATTGTCGGACACATGCAAGGGTGGAAGGTGCCAAGATTTTCTAAAAGTGACAAGATTAGCCAAGTAACCAAGTACTTCATTAGATCGGAATATAGTGGCAACCTAAACCACATCCAAAAGTATCCATGCACCTCTGTTGCGTCCAATTTTCATCCTCATCACTTATCACCTTCTTCGAATGACTGAAACCCATGCAATGTGAAACTACTGCATGTATGTGCGAGTTTTTCAGCAAACTACACTCACTCGTTAACCACGTCTTATAAATATCATTGTATAGCTGGTCTATTCACTTTGGCTGGGTTTCTTCAGATGACACAATGGGCGCAAGGAAAACATAGAAATTATCGAAAGGAGTTCAAAGACTATCCCAAGTCCCGGAAGTGCATCATGCCGTTTTTATTGTAGAGTGTGGATACGATAACCTTCTATACGTGACAAATGTTAACGGGACATTTTGATCGTCCTGCTGTTGATTATACACTTTGATAATTTGTTAAGATAAAAAAGCTAAATTCTTAATATCTATAACAATCGCTTTTAACTCGATTTAATATCTACCAAACAATCAGTGGGTTTCAGTATATGCATTATGAAAACAGACAAATTCAAGTATAATTATACAATGAAATAATTTATTATGTTTTTTATTTGATGCTTTCATAATAACGGCCGACTGGTCGTCATCAACTGCACGATAGTGTTTAGCGAAACCCGTCTATTGAAATCATTCATTGCCACTTAATGTTTGAATGATCTGTTTTCCACTATGATGTTTTGCGAAGTAAGTGATGAACCTCTCCCAGTATACAGCCATTTCAATTAAGGTTGTCCCCGAGCAAAGCGGAAAAGTCGAATACGAGCGCGAAAGGCTTGATGGGAATCGCTAAAAAATTAATGATTTTTTTAGCGATTCCCAGCGAGCCTTTCGCGCTCGTATTCGACTTTTCCGCTTTGCTCGGGGACAACCTTCATTGAAATAGCTTAAAATTCTACTTTATGATCGCACCACTTCATCCAATACACTCTTTCGATAATTACGTCACAAATCTTACCTTGGCCTCGTTTTCCTTTTCCTTTCATGATTTCATCTTGATTCACGATACTCGAGACTCCCAGGCTTAAGCTGGTTTTCCATTAGGCGGAATTTTTCGCGCGGAGCGGAATTTTCTTTTAATTTGTTTTCTAATTCTAATTAGTTCCACCCGAGAAATCGCAAGACAAAGAAAAAGTCCGCTCCGCGCGCAAAATTCCGCCTAGTGGAAAACCGGCTTAAGGTAATTCCACAGTTTTGCATTGCGCACTTTTACTGCGCACATCTTATAACTTATAATTTCATCCATTATACGTACCGTTTAAAACAAAATCATTTTATGACAATTTTATGTTACCTCAAAACATCTTTGATTATATTCGTGCAAAGAATTACGTTAAAATCAATGTTTTCAAAAAAGGCATACAAAAGTGTAGCTAGGGTTCCTTGTGTCTGTAGTATATTTATTTACTTGTATTTCACGTTTTAATGCCACAATTCCCTAAAAAGATCGGAGACCCCCGTTTTTTAACTGATAATTTATTTCTTTAATGCATTTTACATTTCATATCCGAAATTAAAAGAAAAATCATTTCTGGATCTTCAATGCATGTTCTCAAAGAAAGATATGTAAAGAAATGTGGAAAAGACATTTGTGGGTCAGAATTGTACACGTTCGTCGTTTCATTTTACTCAAAACACAATATTTTTTCAACAATAATTACAAGATAGGTTTACTAAACCATGCAGAATCCGCGCTAAAAACGTCAATAAATGTCGGGCTGTTGTGATTTTGCTGTTACTCGTAATGAGCGTCAAGATGGCGCCATATTGGGGTAAAGGTAGTATATTGTGATTGTGATATCTTCTTAACGAGTTCGGTGACCCCGACTTTTTTGTGTGATTTTACTTTAAGTATGTCATAAACTCCATGCCTGGGAAGTTTCAGCACATTCTCATTTCGGGAACAATTACTGCGGAATTACCTTAAGGAAGTATTCGTGACGCTGTAATTATCGAAAGGGTGTCTTACATGCATATGTTCTAAAGGATGGTTTACCATATCAAAGTTTCTGTGGTCACAATCTTGCATATGTAAATTCTACGTTTTGCAAAGAAATGGCAAAGGAAGGGTTTAATCTTTGAGGGAACTAACTTCGTGTGTAACACTGAGTCAGTTCCCTGAAACCTTTCTTACAAATCCTTCAAAACTTAGAGTTTAGCTATAATGTGATCACAGAAACTTTGATAGTGTAAAGCAGCCTTAAAGTTATCCTGGGTACGACACGAACACATGCGGCTCGTAATAATGCTCTTGTTTTGTCAAATAATCGCAATTCAAGTGTTATTGGTTCCTGAAACGGTTAAATTCGATCATGTTGTCCTAAGTAGTAAGTTTGTTATTTCCCAGAGGCTGAAATATAACCGCGTTCATAGTGTGAATGCACCATCTGTCGCAGACGTATGCCTCAACTGAAACTTTCATGTCTGTCGAGATTATTTGACAAAATTAATCTGACCCACCAGTCGCATTAAATTTACTTCACACTGATTAGCTGAGTTAATTTAAACCTTCAATTGCTCGTTTTAATGTAAGGAAAAGACAACGTACGCGTTTTTATTAATGATACAATCGACGGTAACAATTATTGCTTCTTCAATATAATAATGTATAGTACGGTATACTTATTATGCTATAAACGCGACACCACGTTGCAATTTTAATTATTATATATTATAGAGATAATAAAATATGGAGATTATGTTTTCATTATCACAGAGAATTGCTGTAGATCACGTGGTTCTCAGCCAGTCCACTTTAAAACAACCTGAAATATTGAATGCAGACAACACCCATGCATCGCAGGAAAGGTATGTTTCGACAGTTATTCAGATACAATACATATTACACCAGGAAGGGAATTGACATATTAAAGTATGACACTCAGTATATTGATACAGTTTTGGCTATATGTTTTCATTCCGCCTGTGTCCAATATAACGATAGAGCGTTGTATTATGAAGATTTGTTATTCACTGTTTTTCGTGTTTCTTTTCAGCAAAAATAACGACGAATTAACAGAGTAAGGTGTAATTAAAGCAGTGTCGACGAAGGTAAGACGAAATAGAGTATAGTTCTGGCGTATATTTTTGTATGAAGTGATTAGTGTTTATATATGCTCGCACAGCTGTTTCATAATATTGCTTTGTGTTGTGACATGCCCAATTCACAGACTCCGTAGAGAAAATATACATCCCATTTCCTTGTGATTTGGTGTTTTTTGGATTTGATATTCCCTTTAGGATCGACATATAGCTACCGATTCAGCGCAAAAATCCTTATGTTCGATTGATTAACTAACATTAATATGCTTCTAAGTTATCTATGATATACAATCATGCAGGGGTACGTACAACTTACAAGCATTATCAAGCTTCGACTTTTCCGTTAGTTTTGAAGCATACATGCATGCAAAATTGTTGCAGTTGAATAGTATATTGATAGCAATTATAATTTTAAATGCTATACTCTATAGAAGTTAATATATACAGTAGAGCATTATGCGAAAGTTTATGCACATGTTTAATAAATTTATTTCGATATCAATGATGCTGTATTAAGTAGTTAAAAACTGAAAGTGTTGGGATGCATTGTTCAAAACGAAATCCAACATTTAATGTTGTTTTAGCTTTACATTATGCGAGTAGTCTTGCAAATTCTGGGAGATACATTGCAAGTTATAAATCTTTAATTTTGACGCTATTGGCGTATTGCATGAGATTTTTAATAATACAACTTGGCGAATACATAATACAATAATAAATATTATTTTTAATAACTTCGTGGCATTGTGAAACTATATCTTATATAAAATTATACTTTGTGCCATACATGCAGTAAGATTGGTAAAGTGCAAAGTGTTGAGTATTATGTTATTTCCGTTTGCACGTATAGCGGATGTATTTGCCATCATTCATTTGAGTCCAAAGATCAACAACAAAAGATATAAATTATTCAAGAAAATGCAAATGTTTGTTCTAAACAAGTAAACGTCTAGGTTTTTGCATATGGCAGTATAAATACGAAAAGCAATACATATAAAATAATAAAACTCGGTTATCAGTTTTAACGTCGCGCGTGAAAGAATACCTATTAAATAGTAGTATACAGATCTTCTCATGCTGCCGAGCGAAACAAATAGTGATGGCACATGGTGGCATGCGACATATTACAGATAAATACATGATTTAGTCAAGCTAAGAAATTAAAATGTAACTTATATAATTGCTGCAATTGTAGTATATCGAACGTTTGTTAGAGTAATTGCAAATGAATTTGTTTCATGTTTTGGACTATGCTTCCGTCAAAATACAGTGTTCTCGTAAGTAGAACGGGAGAGTATGGCTAATAAATCTTTATTAATATTGACTTTGTATAATGGACGGTTGATAAAAAGCATATATGGTGAAATGCAGAAAAAGATCTGTAATGTAGGCGGTAATGGGTATATAATTATATCTGGTAACAAGTCTTTTGATGCCCCAGTGGATGCCCCATCAATGCTGGATTGGAAGAAGAATTGAGAGATCATAATTTTTTAACATAGATCTTCATGTGGAAACTATAATAGTAACAGACTCGACAGCTATTAAGAGCAAAAACTAGTACAGGAAGTTTGAGGGAGCAAAAATGAATTGAACAGTACCTACAGGTATGGCTGACATTCTAGCCAACACTTTCTTTAGATAACATACTCTTATGGGATAAAATTGAAAGAAATGCCGGATGAAAATGTCGGCAGAGTGAACCGTGGAAACCAAATTTAACTCCAAATGAAGAGTGAAATTCGGTCCAAAATACTCCACCGGAGTTAAATTAACTCCCTTGAAATTACAGTGAAGTCGCATTGCATCATTCGCCTCGTGTAAGATGGGCTTAAGTGTAATACACGTTCTTTCATTCGAAATATCGTTATTCCTTTGAGTATCATATAGGGGCCGGTTGTATAAAAGGCTTAACTACCCGTTTTGTAGTCTTTACTCTCAAATTCGCGATTCTGATTGGTTACTTTTTTGCACAAACTGTGGTTAAATTTTAACTACTTTTTTATAAAACCGACCTCTGATGTCATCATTCATAGTTCATTTTGCCCCGTTGGTGTGGGCTCGGTTTCTCAGCGGTCTTACAAAGTAAAATTACATATGAAGTAACATATTTCCCGAAGAGTAATAGCTAGGGCATATTATAGCTCATCAGAATTCTTTCCCGATCGTACAGAGTACTGTACGTCCTCAAAAACGCCTATATGATTCTCTCTCAAGTAAACTCAAGTAAGCTCTCTCTCTAATCATGCCCGCCGAGGGGGGGGGGGGGGGTGGACATATTGCCCCGGGTCTCCAGCTCAAAAGGGGTCCCAAATCGGCGAAGTTCCTTTCTTGATACAAACTAAGAATAATAAATTCTAAGCTAAACTAAGAATATAAATTCTATCTGCGTCAGTACCGAAGAGTATTCATGCAATAAAGCAGGGGAATGTTTTATGACGTCATAGGGGCCCTGAGAATGTTTTGCCCCGGACCCTGCGCAACCTCTCGGCGTCTCTGTCTCAAATAACCCGCCCACTCCTTCAAATTGGCTCAAGAAATATATCCCGGCGGCTTAATAAGATGTTCTACGGTAAATATTGATGAAAAGTTATGTGACGGAATATCTTATCATATTCAGTGTTATTAAACTATAATAATATTGATACTGCCAAGATTTGCGACACACTTTATAAATATAGTTCAAGTGTAATCTAATATCGAAAATGACAGGAGCGTTTTTATAGTCTAGCTGATCAGAACTTTGTCCGAAGAAAAACTCTTCCGGCACACGATATTCATGCCTTTTTATAGATGATATTTAGTCGTGCATTTTATCTCACCGTGGCAAATCATATGTATATAGCCTAACTAAATTTGTCTGACAAACACGGTGCCATCTGTGCAATTTTGAATATCGAAATTGTAGCGACGCTGTTTAATTTAATACGAGGTAGCTATGCTCACACGAGAAGAAATCGTGATGAAAACTCACTGATGTAATATTACATTTTATTAAATGAAACGCTTTATTATGCCAGTCAAAAGAAGCGTTACATTTTACGTCAGTGTAATGATGTTTCCGTTTGTCTCACTCTGCAATGACTCGCTATTCACCAACTAGTAACTCACGAGTGAATTGCCATTCGCAATTTCGCACACTCGTAACTTGCGAGTGACTAGCCATTCACTGTGATTGATTCTTACTATTTATAACTATGTCTATGATTTTCAAAATTTTCGTTTTCACAAACAAGTGCAGCGTAGCTTATCTGTAGTGTATAGGTGTGAGCTTTAAATCAAATTTTAACAACATCGCTATCCTATGAACAGAACTGACTGCATGAATATTGCATGGTATGAATAGAGTGTAGTTTAATTAAAAGACAACTGCATGCTACTACCGCATTAAACTTTGAATTAGATTTTCAACTTGTTATTTTGTCATGTTTGTTCAAGACCAAATATATTTCCTTTTCTTGGGCGTTTGAATTGGTCGGATAATGAGAACTAGACGAATTTGGGTTGACTGTGTTGTCATTTATAGTATTCGGAATTTTCCGAAGAGACTCGAAGCTTCAAAGAGAAATAACACGGGTTTCAGAACGCATTCAAGAACGCGTTCCGAACGCGTTCAGGAAGGTGTTCCGAACGCGTTCTCGAAGGTGTTCCGAACGCGTTTTGGAACGCGTTCCGAACGCGTTCGCAGCATTAGTTACTTCTGAGCAGTACTGTAGTTTAAACGAAATTAACTTAGTTTTTGTTTGCTCGATGTAGTTAGCCAAGATGTCGTTCATGGATATATTATACTGGCGAGATCCGAAGAAAACAGGCCCTATATTTGTTGCTTGCCTGCTGTTATTGTATAGTTTTCAGCACTTCAGTGTAGTCACTGTCGTCACTTATCTACTCAAAATATCATTGCTACCAACGTTATTGTTTCGCCTGGTCATCAGTCTCAAAGCAGCGTTAACAAAGACAGAATGTGAACATCCATTCAAGTAAGACATTTTTAATCTAAAATATATCACTCCTTTGATATTAACCACCCCAGTCCCCAGGTCTCTTTAGTTTCATTTACACTTACAATTTTTGCTGCGATTTTCTTGTTCTGATGGATGTAAACGAGTGGATGCATGAATGGGTTATGAATGTTCAGGTCAGGGTACATGTACTCCAAACATTTGTAACTCAGGCGTAAAAAAAATACCTGTGGTTCCGGTTCCCGACCGACCCTATTTTTTTCTGCCGACCCTATTATTTTTTCAACGCGATTGACCGTGCGACCCTATTTTCTCCAGGTGGTTGCGGGCTGCTCATACAGCGTGCCAAAATGGCGTCTGTTGTCACAATAATTATTGAACCAAATTGCCTCAATTCGTCCATAGGAAATACGCACCTCTAGTTAATATTGATGTCGGGACTCTAATGCAAATCGCCCAGCAAAAAACCCGGCAAAACCATGAAAAAAATCTTCAAAAAAAAATTTATTTCCGACCTACCTACCGACCCTAATTTTTTCACGATATGAAACCGGAACCACAGGTATTTTTTACGCCTCATCTACTCGTTCACAGTCATGCATCAAAAGGAGAAAGTCGCACTGGAAATAGTAGCAAAAATTGCAAGTGTAAACCGGCCTTTTGATCTGAATGATCCTGACTTGAGTGACGTTGTCTTTATATACTAAAACATGTAGATAAAAACCAGGGGCAGTATTTACGACTTGGCCCCGTCTAGTCTAGCACTAGAGTGAATATTAAGGTTAATACTTAATTCACATGATGAACGTGCGTTTTAGTCTATTGAACATGGCGCAACGAATTTTAGGTGCAACTTTACCAAATTTTTAGTGAAGAAAGCCAAGAAAATGATGATTTGGAAAATCTTCATTTGATGGGTATTCTGTTTAAACATGTCCAGTATTGGCTGACTAAAGAAATATATAAGTATCCCATAAAAAATCAAAATATGTTTATAGTTTGCCTCGTCGTTTGTCTACATATCTCGATTTGAATCTTCATATAAGTACGGTAAAAAAAAAACGTGTGCGGAAAATTTCTCTTCTTCAATGGTTTTTCTGATATGACGTTTTCTTTAACAACTTCGTGAATTATCAGTGACAAATCCAAGAATCAGGGCATATCAGAAAAACCACTAAAGAGGAGAAATTTTCCGCACACGTTTTTTTTACCGTGCCTATGAATATTCGAATTGCGATTGAGACAAACGTTGAGGTAAACTATAAACATATTTTGATTTTTTTATGAAGGTACCTATATATTTATTCAGTCAGCCAATACTGGAAATGTTTAAACTGAACACCCATCCAATGAAAATTTTTCGAAATCAGCATTTTCCTGGCTTTCTTCACTGAAAATTTGGTAAAGTTACACCTAAAAGTCGTTGCGCAATGTCCAATAGACTAAAACGCACGTTCATCGTGTGAAGTAACCTTAATTTCCGTCAATGTACTGTATGTATATTAAAATGCTAAATATCACATAGTCAAAAATATATATGCTTCTCTCGAGTAGGAAATTATTTCTGGTCGAAGTACGCGACACAGTAATAGGCGTACTTATTACATGAAGCTACTTTAGGTCGATTCGTTTACACTTGCAATTTTCGCTGCGATTTCTAGCGCGATTTTCTTCTGATCGGATGAGTAGATGAGTTTAGTTACGGATGCTTTGGGTACATGTTCCTTCATCTGAGCATTTATTATAACTCATCCACCCCTTCACATCCGTCAGAAGAAGAAAATCGCACTACAAATCACAGCAAAAATTGCAAGTGTAAACGGGTCTTTATGATTCAACCTCGTAGCCGGGAAAATTGTCGAATGTAAATTTGTATACATTTATTAGACCTAACCAGGAACAGCTGCGAAAAATGCAACTTTAGGTCCCTGGCAGGAATCGAACCTGCGGCCCTGCGATTCCGGTACAAGGTCCAGTTGTAGAGCTCCAAGTACAAGTTCATGTATATGTACAGGGTACTGCCATGTTGAGTTATATGGATAAATATCAAGATTTTGTTGGCATCCCATTCTTGATATTTACCCATAACTCGTACCCAGGCTATTTTCTCTAACACTCTGGTGTCACAGCCATCTGCTTATCCGCCAACCTTTTAGCCGCTTAGGATACCGCACGAACGAACGAATCACACGCAGAAAATTAATCGCTGCCATGCAGCGTTGGAGGGCAACCGCAATTTCCATAAAATGTTAGGTGTATGTATAGGATCATTTGTATATATACCATATTTCGACAGTATTTTGGCATTAAAATGTGTGCCTGGTTCATGTGTGTGAACTAACCAGACCAGTACACGGACAGAAAGAAACGAAAGACAAAACAAAAAAGATACAGTGAAGTGTGTGATATAAGCTTTGACAGTCATAAGCACAAAAATGAATCAGTCTATATGCTTAAAATCCTTGTGATATTTTGACTCTATTTCGGGATCGTTGTCAAATGATTGGTTTGACATATCTTGAGTTTACAAGATGATATTATTATGCTTAAGAGACCAATAAAAAGGTTCTTAACTTGGTATAAAAATTGTTTTTATATAGAGAGGGGCTGGAATTAGATATTGATGCTCTAGTAGGCACGGTAAGTAGGTTACAATCATTGTTCATACTGCACAGACAAAAATTTAGATATAGAGACCGAAGATGGATAACACGACGGTATACTAAAATACGTCCAGGATGGACAAAGAGACGTGCAGATCGTGTAAAGTAATAAAGATGAACTGATGTTCAAGATGCAGTAGTCTTTAGAATTCACAAACAAAAATACCCGCAGTTTATACGTGGCGTTTTTTACAAATACAAAGCAACAAGTATAGGTAATGGTATGGTTTCGAGTACAATTTGGAAAACCATAATATACGCACGAGTCCGAAGGATGAGTGCAATTTGAAGTCTTTGAAGAACTCACGAGTGTATATGTTTTTTTCAAATTGCACGAGAAACCATACTATTTAACAATTATTGAATGAGGTTGAGCACGATATGAAGAATTATCAAGCCCGAAGTATCAAGCCCGAAGTTTGCCGTTATTATTTATTTATTTAAAAAATTCAAAACAAACATTTGTATTTTATTTGTATTAAGAAAAAAACAATTCCTTAGTCCTTCGGCAGCCGTCGTCGCGTCATATCAATGGCGTCAGCGAGTCAATATGACTCTCGTCGTCGTCCGTAATATGAAGCAAACGCGTCCAAATTTTTTTCATATTGACTCTTTGACGTCATTTTGCTAATATGAATGTGAAAAATCCGTATTTGGTTAGCCATTGTGTTGATATGACAATTTCACAGTTGGCTGTTAGCCAATCAGAAACCAGGATTTTTTTAAATAAATAATAATACTAATTAATAATGTACATGAAAAAATTATGCAGTCACGTGCGTTAGTCACATTTAGAAATCGAGAAAATTAAGAAATTTGAAAAATAAAAAATTTAATTAAGAAAATTTAAAAAATTAAGAAATTTATACTGCTTGTATTTCGTTTTTGCACTGTATTTCGAAAAAATTGCACTGCTCTTTTCATGTATATTATTATTCTATTTATCCTGATGGAAATTATCAGGAAGTTATTGCAGAGACGCCCGTTCAAACCAGTGCAACATGCATGTTGCTTCAATATTATCCACAAATATTGCACGCAAAATATTGGCTTTGTGTGAACATTATCATGTTGATAGGTGATATAGTTGATGTGCCGTAATGAAGATGTAAATGGATCAGGATTGTTTCAAAATTTTCATCAAACATCGTCCAACATTATTGGACGGGATTACTTGAAGCATAGGACCCCCGGTCCCCCCCCCCCCCATTTCTTAGTGATGTATAGAACTGCTTCTCTAACAATTCGCTTTTATTTTTGTCCTGGGATAGTGCAATTCATGAATGAAGGCTATCTGGGGTAATAAAACGGGATTAATGAAATAAAACGAGGCAATTCTATACAGGATCGTAAAATTATATTTCAATTGATCCGTTGCAATTTGCAACGGGTTTTTATAAACGCTAGGGCACGTTGTTAACGAACCAGTAACGTTGACGAAATTACATTTTACTCCCCAATGCCCGATATAAATTTTGTGTTTTTTAGAGTGATAAAACCACTTTGCCCAAGTTTGTGAAGACCATACTACACGAGTGTCGTCGAATATTGTTGGTTGAGGATGTAGTCGACACTGTAAAGGTATCATGCTAATATTGACAACATTTCAGAAAGAAAAAAGGTTACTTGTGCAGTTGTGCTTCGAGGATGGCATGTTTTCCCGCTTGTGGTGCACTTGTTTTGCGCATGCTTCAGGGCACCGCAAAGTAGTAGTATACGTATGTCTATAGTTTTAAAATTAATTGCACTATACTCCGACTAAAGGTTCTGGCGATAGTACATGTGGTGTCTTATCTTGGAGACTGGTTTAGTGGAGTAACATTGCTGTATCTGGGTAAGTTATCATTTTTTGTTATTGAATTACGTGTAGTTAGAGACGTTTTAATAAAAAGTGAAGTTGGCAACTTGCATACCAAACTGGAAACGAATTAATATATACATGCAGTTAATTAACGTAAATAATACGGTGTTTTTATACATCACATACTGATACATGCTGTATGAACCAGTGTGGATTCATAAAATGGTTCTGTACTTTCTAGAGCTAATTTTTATAAAAATTCGTTTTATAAATGTTTAACGTTATTTTACGTAAGAATTTTTAATATGACCTTAAAGCCGAAATATTGCTCATGCTGAACGTCGTTGTTTCTATGGCAATAAACAATTATTGGGTGTGGCTGAGCATGATAGTAAACAGTTATTGGATGAGGTTTTTGTGATATCCAGAATTCTCAAGGTTGAAGTAAGTGTTATCAGTCGAGCCGAAGGTGATATTGGTAACAGGAACCGAGACCTTTATAATTCGGGTATCATAAAAACCGAATTAAATAACTGTTTTATGATCGACAAACACTGCTAGCAGATAATTATGTTATGTGTAGGCCGCGTGATTCCATATTTAGCTGTACGTATAAGATTCTGGCAAAGAAGAAGACACGTACTCACGTAGTGTTATTTAAACTATAGTTATTTTATATAGTTATTTGTATAGTTATTTTCCTGACTATACAATGTATAGTAATCAGGGGTTTCAGAATAAGCCGGCGGCCGCCGGAGTTCCGCCGGCTACTTGAACTTTTACCGTCGGCTACTTTTTGTCTGGTCACGGGAAAAATTTTGTATACAAAGACCTGTACAAGCGAACCAACACGATGTTTGTTATGTTCCAATTGGAATTCAAGCAAGACATCACTTATTTTCGGAAGATCAATAAGATCAGTAATACATAGTACCAAACATAGCTTGCTTTCTTAAGTTGCTGTCGAAAAAGCGATAATATAAACATTCTTTGTTTTCTCGTAGCCATCTTGAATTTCGTAGCAAATGGTCAGCGGCTCTGAGTCTTCCTGAACAGGAAGATGACTCTGATTGACTTTGACAGTGACTTAAGCATTTGGGAATCCGAATTTGACAGTGAGCCAGAGAACGAGTCAGATTCAGAGCTACTTTGGTAAATGTTTTTCAATTAAGAATTTTCTTTGACAGTGAATTAATTATGATAAAGTGATGAAGTAAAGTTCATTACGTACATAAATATAACATTTAATTAATGATTTCGGACTCATAAATTAGTACTAATAGCATACATTGTCATTCTGTTCACGCAGCTGTAAAAATTAAACTACCAGTAAGCACATTAAAGTACATTGTCAGTTACAAGTATAAATGCAAATGACATCTAAATCTAACATGTTAACAGTTGTACTTTGTCTTTTTACTTTTTCTATATTATTTGATTGTTTAATTTGCGGCGAAAATTTTTTAAATTTCCATGCGAGGGCAAGCTCCCCTCCTCGCGCGATTTTTTAACTATCAGTCACAGCCGGCTACTTTTTTGGTACAGCCGCCTACTTCAAATCATTCTGAAACCCCTGCTAGTAATGAATGTTTTGACTCATACCGCCTTGGTTTTTATAGGTCTAATAGCGACGTTCACTATTCCAAAGTTTTATGACATGTACAGAGTAAGTAGCAGAGCTTAAAGCAGCTGTACTAATAATACGTTTGTAGACGTTCTCTGGTTTTAGACAGGGATCCGACCCCATGAGATACAGTAATTTGATTAATAACATGATGATAAGCGAACTGTGCACAGTAATTACAATTCAAATACAGTAGTCAAGCAAGACTTTGCAGTAGGGCACCAGAGTGTGCAGAGCACCCACCCCCTCGCCCCCAGCCCCCTGCCAGATCATGCTGGATCCATCCCTGGTTTTAAATATTTATTTAGTCTTCAATGGGTAGATTACAATGAATAGCTGTATGTAATCACATTTCATTTAGGCCTACTGATTTTTCCGAAAGCTGTACATTGTCATACATGTGTATACCTATAATGATGAAATTTTGTCCAATATTTTGTCCAGCAATGTTCATATAGTAAACCATTATAGTATCACACTGTATTTTTGCAGTTTTCATGTTTACAGAACAAAACCGAGGTTAAAAGAGAACGTCTTGGCTGTAGTAAATTAATGAAATAAATTAACCAATCTCCTATTGTTCCCCAATTTTCAATTGCTAACCCGCTATGGCAATGCATATTCATGATCATTTACCGAATTTCACTATTCAAATTTTTAAATCTCATATATGATATCTTTGTTAAAATTTATTCTACCGCTATAACCATTCGACTTTTATACAGGATGAAATTCAGAAATTGATAGAAAAAGTGTCTCGTATGTTTGAAGACGTGAAGACAAGGTACAAAAGACTAATGTCTTTTTAACATAAACCCACCATCATATTATCTTTCTATTTTATTAAACCATCAATTCCTCTTGACAAGTTGGGTCTATCGGGACTTGATGGCTTAATCCAGGCATTTGGACTCGTGGATAATCTTTTTAGAAAAGTCAAGTTGATGGTTCTATAAAAAAAGTCCTATTGATTGATTTCAAGTTGATGGTTCTATAAAAAAGTCCTATTGAAAAAGTCCTATTGATTTAAGTTGATGGTTCTATAAAAAAGTCCTATTTCTATCAAAAAGTCCTATTGATGGTTCACAATCCATCCCTTGAGATTTCTAACCATGGAAATAATAGTAATATTTCTATGTTTCTAACATGCACATAGACATATGGCGGCCATATTGGAGGAAAACACGCTCCAAATATAATAGCTTCCATTGATACAGTATTCTTTTGTTAGTGTTCCTCCAAAATGGCCGCCATAACGTCAAGTGCAAACCAATAATGTAGTTATTCACATGCAGTCGAAGAATTCAATGTTTAACATGTATACTGTAATATGTAACCATGCATATGTCATTGTATGCCAGCATGGAATCTCGTACCCAGAGCCATGCAAAATCTTGAACGGTCGGTACCATTGTAGGTAGAGACGAAAACAAACAGCTGCAGTGCAGAGGCGCTGGAGACACGGGAGAAGCTTTCCCCCTTGCCCAAACAGTTCGGAGGCAGCAGTTTGCCATTTCTACATGAACTACAGTACACTTGCATTATTCATATGAATTGTAATCGAGAATTGGTTTCAAGGAATTTAGCTCAAATTTGAATGATAAATTCAGCTCAGAAACGTTACCAAGGTTTCCAACTATATGAATAAAAACCGTCAAAAAGAATTAAGCCGTCTTAAATAAGTGACAAGCTGTCATGTTGTTTAATGTACAATGCATTTTAAACTTTAGCGTCATGCAACGAATAAAATTGTTCCAATCAAAGCCGAAATTTGTCCAACTATATCAAGTGTCCGCACAGCAAAATGTTAACGAACATTGCTGCCCACACAGTTTAGGGCTCAGAAGTAAGTTCCCTTTTTAAATGCCTGCCCCCCCCCTCCCCCCCGCTTCACGTCACTTCCCACGCCCCTGCTGCGATGTGAAGGATATACAGCTAATCCAAAAAAGGTTGTCGTTTGTAAACCTTAAACTCTAAACCATAAACTCTAAGCGCGCAAAGCTTAATGGGAGCATACGTTTCAAGCTTTGTAATTGAATAATGCAGCTGGTTAAATGAATTGTTCTCGTAAGGAGATATTTACCATGTCTCTAAGAAATGGTCCCCGTATATGATATCTAAACTGATTAAATGATGTTCCCATTATGCTTTGCACGCTCAGAGTTTAAGGTTTAAGGTTAAGATTTTTTCGTTTGTAAAGGGCAACCTTTTTTATTTAACTGTATATACATACATGCAAGTACAACTAACTGACGCAGAGCCTTCGCTAGAAACATTGATTGTTCTGCTTATATTTTCCTGATTAAGTATCGTTTACACCGCAGTTTACAAAGTGCGTGGTGTTTGGCAACTAGCACGTGACTTTAATCATGAATGCGCATATATAGCGTTTTGTAATAAGTGTTTGCATGTAGCATGTTGTAATCTTTATCATGTGTTTACTAATTTGTGGATATACTAACATTTCATTTAGGGTTTTGTCTAATATTCCATCAAAAAGTAAATCATTTTCGACAAAGAAGCCGAAAGGATTGAAAGAGCCGAAAAATGTTGAAGAGATAAGTCCAGCTTTGAGAGAAAGCTCACTGCCTTCTCCAGAGGAGGCTAGCGACGAGGAAAAAGAAAAGATGTCGTGAGCTATTTAATATAGTTTCTTGGTATTGTCAAAAATTGTATTTTGCATGTGTCTAACATCATCTATAACTCATTAATTTTTAGTATCTGCATGGCTGGAATATTTGAACAAAAACCACTATATGGATATAGAAATCATAGAAAGGGCCCGCATGTTAAAAAGAGAGATAAATACGCATTCTGTATACTATATGAAGAATATTGTTTCTAGATGATGTCACTATGTGTTGTCGGACGCGCCATCTTCGTTGATTCTCAGTTTACCTTAGCATGACGTTGAGTTAGTTTACTATTTTCTGCTTTATTTTATTAGCTCAGCTTGATTCAGTCAATAAACGAATACATAGTTTATGTGGTTTTAAAATTCAACCAAAATGACGTTGATCTCAAGCAACCAATATAGGCTCGCATATAATTAAAATGTGAATAGACTAAAACGTTAACGCATTACCAGGGCGGGGGGGGAGAACCTTTTCTTGTTCCTGTCGTTCTGAAACTAGCGCATGTGAACAATTCGTGAAAACTGCCCACTTGCGACGTCATCAAGGTGCATCACAATCACAGTACCCCCAGGAACGAATCAAACGATATTTGCAATTTTTCTATGACAAGTTTTCACTTGACACAGAAAATTCTGTACGTCTCTATGGGCCAACAAAGGAAATTTGGCTAATTGATTTGAGCACTTGCATGGGGTTGTTCAGATCGATCTATGGCGATCTATTGTTATAATAGCTAATAATAGCTATCGTGGCGGTCAGAAAACCATTCAAAAACTTGTCATATAATTTTTTGTATGTATATATATATATATATACTAGTTATAATCTTAAAATTTTATTAATCGCTACACAGTGTTTCACGCTTTCAAAGCGATCTTCAGGCGATACTACTCTAAATAGTTTGCTTGCGCCATTCATTCAACGGTCCGCTGACGCGATTGCATCATTGACACATTCGAACTGCCTTCAAAAAACTGTGCGCCTGTAGTTGCTGAGATGAAAGCATTTGAGGAAGACGTCATTCATCTAGTGTCAAATGTCAAATTCAGAAAGATCTCGGATCCGTTTTTGAACAATATCGCTGTAGACCTGGAGAAAGTTAATTCTTCTCAAAATGTTTTAATATTTGCCGACAAAACAAGAAATGTCTATAAAGCTACAACCGAAACATACAACAAACTATTGACTGACAACATAACGAAAACATATAAATTGGGAAGCGACGATATATCTGATGTTATCAATTCTGAACTAAAGAATATAACGAGCAATCTGTCGATCGCGGATCGTGTCGACACAATGGCGAGAAAAAACGCGTTCATAACTCTCAAAGACCATAAAGAGAATTTCGACTCTAACCCCAAATGCCGCCTTATCAATCCATCGAAAAGCGAACCAGGAAAGGTTAGCAAGATAATACTCGATGACATTAACAACAAAATTAGATCAACCTTAAGTTTGAATCAGTGGAAAAATACAGAATCCGTAATCAGCTGGTTCCAAGCCATCAACGATAAACATAATCACACTTTCCTTTGATATCGTTGAGTTTTACCCGTCTATATCCGAGCATCTCCTTGACGAAGTTATTTCATGGGCCCAAACATTAACTGACATTACGGATCAGCACATTTCTATTATTAAGCACGCAAGAAAATCCTTACTTTTTCATGATGAGAAAACGTGGGTAAAAAGAAACAACCAATCTCTATTCGACGTAGCAATGGGAAGTTACGATGGAGCCGAGGTATGTGAGCTGGTCGGACTATTCATTTTGAATAAGCTTTCTGAGAAATTTGGAAAGAATAACATTGGACTATATCGAGATGATGGCTTAATGTTGTTGAGTGGAACCGGAAAAAGATTGGCAGACAACGCTCGAAAGTCTCTACATTGCATATTTCACAAACTTTGCTTTAAGATCACTGCCGAAGTTAACAACAAATTGTCAATTACTTAGACGTAACCTTCAATCTGCAAACAGGGAGATATTCAGCTTACAGAAAACCCAATAACGACCCTCTCTATATAGACAGCCGGTCAAATCACCCCCCTTCTATCATCAAGCATGTCCCAGAATCCATATAAGCAAAAGAATATCTAGCTTATCCTCTGATCAATTATCTTTTGATTCATCAGCAGCATTGTACGAATACGCACTTCACCGCAGAAATTACAACGTCAAACTCCAATATTCAACCAATAGTACCGGCGACACCCCAACACCAAACAGAAAAAAACGACAAAGAAAGGTGATATGGTTTAACCCGCCCTTCAGTAAGAACGTAAAAACCAACGTGGCACATAGCTTCTTACAACTCATCGACAAGCACGTCACTTCCCACATTCAACTCGACTCCATAAAATCTTTAACCGGAACACTGTGAAAGTGAGTTATTCCTGCATGACCAACATTAAGAACACTATATCCAACCACAACCGACATCTACTGGTAAGAAAGAACAAATCATTCGATGGATGTAATTACCGCAACAAGGACGAATGCCCTCTCGATGGTGATTGTCTTACGAAAAGCATCGTGTATAAGGCTGAGATTACAACAACAGACGTCGGTGAAACGAAAGAGTATATTGGTATGACAGCAGGGAGGTTTAAAGCAAGATACGCCAACCACAAGAAATCCATCAACTCACCTCGCTATTCAAACGAAACCGAACTTTCTAAGTACGCATGGAAGCTAAAACAAAGTAACCGACCGTATAATATAAAGTGGTCGGTTTTGTCGCATGCATCAGCCTATACAGCAGGTGCAAATTCTTGCAACCTTTGCTTAGAGGAGCTAGAAGTTTTATATAATCAAATCTCACAAAGATAGGACGTTGAACAAACGAACAGAACTATTTTCAAAGTGCCGCCACAGAAACTCATTTAGCGCGCGGAATTTTAAACGCACGCGCGCATGATGCAATCGCGTCAGCGGACCGTTGAATGAATGGCGCAAGCAAACTATTTAGAGCAGTATCGCCTGAAGATCGCTTTGAAAGCGTGAAACACTGTGTAGCGATTAATAAAATTTTAAGATTATAATTAGTATATTTTGCTCTATCAATTAAATTTGTTATTGAGCACTCTTTTTGTACAACGGACAACGATTTATTATTGTATTATATATATATATATATATATATATATATATATATATATATATAATATATATATTGTTATGTTGCCTGTTATGTTGTACTTGTAAATTAATCTTACCATTATACCATGAGTTCGAGTCGAGCCTATAGGCCTGAGCTGATATAGCCGACGCAAAGTGCGTATATACCTAGTATATAGCTATGTCGGTTATTAGAATTGTCACAAGTCTGGCGGTAGCCAGTAACCGCTCCAAAATGGTCGGACTGCTTATTGATGTTGTGCTTCAGCCATGCTATTTTGCAAAATGTATCCTCATCTTTAAATTTTTACTACGTTAAGATTTGGAACGATATTACATTCTGACTGTGTTTTGTGACGAATTCGGCTTGTGCTGCGAAGCAGACATTAGCATAATCCTTGCTGTTTCATAAATTGGCATTTCATTTTGAAAAAGATCATAAGAAATGAATTTCAAGCTGTAACAATGGTTTAATCAGTGTTTAAATTTGTATGCATCGTTGAAGTATATGTTGCCGGATTATAATTGTGCATGGAACCTTCTTGAAAGCATTTATATCGCTGATTTATTTTTGTTCTAGACCGATAAGAGCTTGTTAACTAAAGCCATCGTTGATTGCTTTTACACAGTTTAATTATTATAAACTATAAATAATAGTGCAGTTCTCGCTTATATACGTCATGCATCTAAACTGTTGAAATACGAGTTGCATCCTAGCTGCAAGTTATACCGGCTTGATAATTATACTTCTTAACTCAAGTTAATAGTGTAGCATAAGTCTACATTTTCCGACGTTTTGGAGGTTTGTTCATAATTTATATCAGATTTAATAAAATAATATACAAATTTAAAGGGTTTTGTTAGTTAGATATCGTTGTATTTCGGTCAGATTCGAAACGCCCATGTATTTCGTGATAGAAAAGCCTAAAATATTTAAATTCGCTTGTGAAGAATTCACACATGAAAAACATTCAGCAGTGATTTTGTCGATTTTCGAACATTTTCATGTTGTTATAACGTCTAAATCTCTTAGGAAAGAAGTAGTGAAAGTCGTACTATGAAATAGGCCTTCCCAAGGTATTTTCTGCCATTAGTTAAATCTGTTGTTTTAACCATTGCGTTTGCACCACTAGCACTATTGTGTTTCATTATGACGTCTTTAACCTTGGAAAGATCTATTTGCGATTGCATCACTAAATCCAGAGTATATCCATATTATATCCATTCCAAAATAGTATGAAAATTAGATTTCCATTCTAGTCTCAACTAAGAGTTTGTAAGGATTTTGAAAAAATATTTCCAGTGTACATGTATAAGAGTCATTGCTACAACACATCATCTTGTTCATAATGTACCGACAGTGTCAGTGAATAATTGCGGATATCGGCTTTTATATACTGCATATACAGCTATTTCAATTAAGGTTATCTATCCACAAGCAAAGCGGAAAAGTCGAATACGAGAGAGAAAGGCTGCTGGGAATCGCTTTGAAAATTCATTAATTTGTTAACGATTCCCAGCAGCCTTTTGCGCTCGTATTCGACTTTTCCGCTTTGCTCGTGGACAACCTTCATTGAAATAGCTGTAATTTTCCCCCATGCTTTAATTGAAGCTGTTATTTTCACCCATTATTAATATAGGGAAGGATTTTTATTGTAAGCGGTGAATAAGAAATAATTGATCCAAAGGCAGCTCTGCTTTTAAGTCCAACACGATTACAGCCAATTCAAAAAAGGTTGTCCTGTCTTTCCCTTTGCAAACTTTAATCTCGAAACCCCTTAACCTTGGTCCCATTTAAGCCTTGCGCGCTTAAAATATAAGCGAAAGTTAATTAGTATTGCATGCATGGTTATGAGATATATCGAAATTTTGTATTTTGTGTATATTTAAAACGTATACGGCCAAAGTCACTGACATGCAGTCGTTAGATGATCACAAATCTTTTAAGGGTTATCATAGATAGCGACTGTTTATTACGCGGGTATAAATTCAGGCAGGCACGTGGCTTTGCGGGTATAAATTTGCAGAAGAATTTAAAACACATCTATTTCTTCAAAACGTTTATAAAGTCACGCTTCTAATATATACCGTCACTTGTTTGAGACGTGTCGCTATCGGATTCAACATAATCTCTGTGGTCAAATGGAAAAAGAACTGCCTAGGTGAATGCGAAATCCTGCCCATTTTGTTTCTGTAGTAAACCACTTTTTGAATCCTAAAATCAAATAATTGAAACCAAGATTGAATAAAAAAATCCCAAAATTGAATCATTGAATCCTATAGTTGATTTATTGAATCGTAAGATTGAATTATTGAATCTTAAGATGTGAATTATTGAATCCTAAGATTGAATTTCTCAATCCTAAGATTGAATTATTGAATCCTAGATTGAATCATTGAATCATAATATTGAATCATTGAATACTAAAATTGAATAATTTAAACCGCATTGAATCCAAAAAATAAATAATTCACTCCTAATATTGAATTATTGAATCCTAAACTTAAATTATTGGATCCTAAATTGAATCATTGAATCCGAAAATTCAATCATTCAATCCAAAGACTGGATTATTAAATACTAAGATTTAATCGCTGAATCCTAGATTAAAATCATTGAATCCTAAAATTGAATCATTGAATCCTAAAATTGAATAATTGAATGCTAGATTGAACCATGAAATCCTAAAATTGAATAATTTAACCCGCATAGAATCCTAAAATTGGATCACTCAATGAAAGATTGAATCATTGAATCCTGCAATTGAACCTTTAAATTCCACAATTGAATTATTGAATCCTAAATTTAAACCATTGGATCCTAGATTGAATCATTGAATCCAAAAATTGATTCATTGCATCCAAAGACTAAATTATTAAATATTAAGATTGAATCGTTGAATCCTAGATTGAATCATTGAATCCTAAATTAATCCCATTGAATCCGATATTAATTCATAGATCAGTAAAACAATGGTTGTAATATAATGCCTGTAACACAAGGTACTTTTTAATATTTTTAAGTAAAGTTTGTAAATAACTTCGTAATTCGTTTTCGAGCGCGACGATTTTATAATAAACCCTAAATTTAATTTTAATTTAATTTAAATTCTTTAATTTTAAGATTCAATGCGGATTAAATTATTCAATTTTAGTATCCAATGGTTCAATTTTTGGATTCTATGATTCAATCAAGGATTCAATGAATTAATCTTAAGATTTAATAATTCAATCTTAGGATTCAATAATTCAATCGTAGGATTCAATGAATCAATTTTATATTTTAAATAAATTTATTAATTTGAAGATTGAATTATTGAATCCTAAATTTAAATCATTGTATCCTAGATTGAACCATTGGATCCAAATAAGTATATTAAGATTAAATCGTGAATACATGAATACTAAGATTAAATCGTTGAATCCTAGATTGAACCATTGAATTCTAAAATTAAATCAATGAATTTTAAGATTGAATTAATAAATCTTAAGTTTAACACATTGAATCATATAATCCTTGAATTAAACTATTAATATTGGATCCTGAAATTGAATAATTGAATAGTACATTGAATCATTGAATACTAAAATTGAATAATCTAATCCGCTTTAAATCTTAAAATTGAATTATTTAATCCCACTATTAAATTATTGAATCCTAAATTTAAATTATTGTATCCTACTTTGAATCATTGAATCCAAAAATTGAATCATTGGCTCCCAGACTGCATTATTGAATACTAACATTGAATCGTTAAATCCTAGATTGAATTATTGGATCCCAAAATTGAATTATTGAATCTTAGACTGAATCATTGGATACTAAAATTGAATAATACAATCGGCATTCAATCTTAAATTGTATAATCTAATCCTAAAATTGAATTATTGAATCCTATTGAATCCTAAATTTAAATAATTGCATCCTAGATTGAATGATTGAATCCGAAAATTGAATCATTGGGTCCAAAGACTGAATTATTGAATACTAAGATTGAATCGTAGAATCCCAAAATTGAATCACTGTATCCTAGACTGAATTATTGAATCCTAAGATTGAATTATTGAATCCTGAGATTGAATTTTGTAATCCTAATTTTAAATCAATAGATCCTAAATTGAAACATAAGTCCGAAAATTGAATCATTAGGTCCAAAGACTGAATTATTAAATCCTAGATTGAATAATTGATTCCTAAAATTGAATCATTGTATGCTAGATTGAATCATTGATTAATTAAGTCATTGAACCCTAAGAATGAATTATTAAATCTTAACTGATTAATTCATTAAAACCTTGATTGAATCTTTGAATCATAAAAGAGAATCATTGAATTTTAAGATTGAAATCGTTGAATCCTACATTTAGTCATTGAATCCTAAAATTGAATAAATATAAGATTGAATCTTTGAATCCTAGATTGAATTAAAAAATGAAACCTCGAAACATGGAAAAGGTTTCTGTTGCTTCAGAATAAAGATAAACTGGCCAATAGTTGTATTTTTCGCTTCTGCTATGTAAAAAATGTATAAAACTCACACTCGAATTTCCATTTACGAATTATTTTGGTATCAGGTGATATTCCCAAAACCCTTATGTGTATTTAATATAACATAACTATTTTAGGATGCTCAAGAATGAAATGTTTCAATATTTCTTGCTAGATATGCGGCTCCTTTTACTACTTACTGTGCCTTTCCTGGCAATAGCTTCCGAGACATCGGTACAAGAATGTTTTGATGAAGCTGCCACTAAGTATATAGCTTGTAAAGCTGTCCATGGAAGACCAGCTGTTTGCGACTGCACATTCAGAGATCCGTGTTACATTAAAATGATCGTAAGTCGGCTGAGAGTTTCCGGTGTTGAAAAATTCCACTATCTCATCAATCAAACATTCCAAGATCCAACTATTATTGTGAAGCAATATGGGATTGTAGTCATTGATGTTTCCAATGAAATGGACGAAGACACTTCTATACATTTCCATGGAATCCGGCAGCGTAATGTTCCATGGATGGATGGTGTAGAAAATGTCACCCAGTACCCTATACAAGCCCATGGCGATTCAGGTAAACTACAAATACATGTATGCAGTAGCGCTTCACCTCCTAGCCTTGTTAATCAAACTACGGGAGGGTTTTAAGACCTTTAAATCCGATTATTAGTGGTGCTGCCAATTTTTTCTTTTAGCGAAACTGGACGGGAGGGAGGGTAACACAGGGGAGCAACTTGACAATTTGTTGCGCCAATGTTCATCAAAATTTGTGTTCGCGGATGTTGCGAGAAAACTAGAAAAGCGTGGATAGCACTATAATGTCGGTTCGTAAGTAAGGTGAAGAAAAGGAAAGCAAAGCAAAGCAAGGCAAGGCAAAGCAAACCAGCAAAGCAAAGCAATGCAATGCAATGTATTAAGGCAAAGCAAAAAAAAACAAAGCAAGGTGAAGTAGATAAAGTTGCCCCTCCGGCAAAATTGGAAGTCCCATTCCATCCTCTCAGCAACCTGCAATATGAAACGAGCCAAAAGCGAAACCACATGAAGTAGTAAGTGTTCCCCAACCACATGAAGTATGCTATATATGCATAAATAATGCTTTGTCCCTGGAGTAACTGGTGAAATTTCCATTGGAGAATAAAAGTACAGCAATAAGGTAACACGAACCTGGAATGCGAAGTTCGATACTGCAATAGTCACGCTCTTCCCTTCCCTTCCTAGACCTAAGCGGTCGATTAAAAAACTTGACCCAGAATGTAATACCGGACATGGTACGATTTCAAAATGGCTTCCTGAATTTCTTGATTACAAAGTTGTTTATTGTGATTAATATCTGCATCCGGCTTGGGTTATAAAACACCATCTATACTGATATACTGAATAACTTTTTCAGGAAAAGGCTCAGAAAATTGGTAAAATAAAATGTAAAATGCTCTGAATAAAGTTTTAAATTATGCACTTTTCATTTACATGTTTCGAAAAAACGATAACAGCGTGAACGCCCCCGTACAGACTCAACAATAAAACATGACATAGAAAAATTGAAAAACTACCGTACAATCTGAGATATATAGAATACAAAACAAATTGGCTTCAAAGGAATATTACGGCAAGGTTCATGCCAACAGTCGTGTAGCATTTGCCTAGGCAATAGCCAATAGATAAAAGTTGATAAAATTTAATTAAAGAGAAGCTTTTTAACGGTTTTTACATTGTCCGTAAATATGTTTTATACAGTAAAATACCCTCCATTAGTTCCCTTAGTTTTCTTTCTACTGTTTTTGTACTATTTTATTGATTATAAAACCAAGTTTGCAGAATCATTTTTTCGAAAACCATTATTTACAAATCTGCTAGTAAGCCTAATTGGCTAATTCCCGAGCCGGCGGCGCGAAGCGCCGTGCGAGGGTACTAATTCCGCACGGCTAATCATACCCGGGTATGTGAAAACATAGCGGAGTGCAAAGTTGTCCTCCATTTTGTTTATGTCATGGACGGTTTTCGACGTTATGCGCATGCGCGAGTACAAACTCTGTCGAAGTATAAATTGTTTTTCATTTTGAAAGGACGTATTTTGCTGTTTTACAGCAATTTTTTGTTTTAAATTTCGTTAAAAATTTTACAAAAGTACAACTTACACGTTTTTTTCGTCGATTTCAACTGGAAATAAGCCTGCAGTTTCATGAATTAGTGGCTGTTCAACCGTGAAACAAAGTTTGTATAATAATTGTTTTGATGTTTTGATGTCTATGCCTTTGATAATTATATTTAATCATTGTTGTGCCGGTTTGGGTAAGTGTAAACAGTTCAGTAGTAAAATCCATGCCGTACTTGCTCTGTGTTGTCGGTTTTATTCATATCAGCGAAATTTTTAAGCCACTCTTAACTCGAAAATTCACTTTAATGCAAGCAGGTATGCATGAAATTGCAGTGAATGTTATCGTTCATTATAACGCTAGCGCATCAGTTGTGTTTTTATGTTTGTTTATAATGGTCTTAATACTTGTATATGTGGAACTTTTATACTTCATCTGTTTAGAAAGGCGAGGGGTTGCTGCATACATGTATTTTCTAGTATATTTTTTATTCCCGCTATATTACAGCACGGCTGTTTCATAATAAAACATCTGAGGAATCGTTCAAATTTACACAATAAGTTGCTTGATCCACGATTCTTCTATTCAAAATAGTGCAGCCAATAAAGGATGTCTTTGAAAAATGCAGTGTTCAGTGCAGAATTAAGTTTTAATTTGAACGCAATCAAACAGTCGTTATGGCGATTGTTATTATTTTTTTCGTTATTTTATTTTACAAGTTTGCCATTGGAATGGATCTATGGTCAGAGTATACTTGTTACAAATGATTGGAATTTCCAGACTGAGAAAGTTCTCCAATAACGGGGTTCCAAAAAAGCAACTTATAGTATATCTAAATATTTTAAAAATTCAAGCACACATGAAACAATTAAACTCAAATACAAGAAGACAAAGCGAACTCATTGACGAACAAAGAAACAAAAACTAAATATAGCAACTTGTGTGGAGTGACATTTAATAATTTGGTGTGACATTTAATACAAATAGACTTAAATGTTCTTGGTTCTTCAGGATTATAAATTGGATTTCAAATCTACGTAACATTTCATTAGATTAACCGCTTAAATGTAGTTATATAGATGAGTTTGTATTTCTTATCAACCAGGGTGTTCCACACATTAGCATGCAGTTCTAATGTAAAGGCTGTTTGAAAAAGAAACAGTTCTATACTTTTGGCTATATGAAGTACAAGGATGTCGTTGGTTGTAACTGATCTTGAAATTATATGAATCATAATTATTATAGTAAGTATATAAGATGTGTTACGCTCCGGTACTTGTAAGTAGAAAGAAAGTGCTGCACGTTCCTTTGTGTTAAGTTTATGGTTTACATTTTTGTATGGAGTTTATAAACGGAGTGGTGACACCAATAGTGCATTTTCTTTCTTCGAAAGTAAAATAAATTGATCAAAGTGCCATCAAGAAGCTTTGCAAGAACATGGAGTATAGTGGAAGAGTTTTTATTGCCAGCTCGGGAGACTCATATGTAGACAAGCGCATATGCAGCCCGAACAGCGCTACAGTTTAATACTTTTCACCAGGAATACTTTTCCGTTATAATTTATTTACTTACCACACATGGCGACCATGGCGGCCAAGCCAAGAAGACACAGAATAGCTTGATTCATATTTGTAAATCTTGATCTTCACACTTCCCAACTCGTAAAAATTTGTAACTTGTGCTGTTCCAAAGTTCTCGCCTCCTTTTATACCAAACGGGTCTGCGGAAGTGAAATTAACTAGCACCTTTTATTATTTCTGTTGCTGGGAGAAATGCCCTGAAAACTACAAGAAATGCCTTGTATAGCTGTCAATTGGATAGCAGTTCATCCTCACTTTTTATTTTTCAAGTGTTTCTTTTTACTTGAGTTACGAAACTGCCTAAAGATTACATCAATTATTTAGCTAACGTCATAAATACTTGTGTTCTTAGTTATATAATAGCGTAAGGAGATTACGTTTTTCACATGGAGATAGTCTTGGTCACTGTTATTAGAAAAGTTTATGTATTGCGTATTTCTCTTTGTTAATTAAATTAAATAACTAGTGTCCAATGACTGTGCAGTTTTCGAAGTGATTTCTATATATTGCCAAGAACGATAAAAATTGCTGGCGTGATTTATACTGATAAGTTGCTGTTTTTTTTCTGCTAATGTCGAACCCCTTTTCGAACAGTAATATTATATCGGCATTTGTTTTGAGTTTTACCTGCTTATATAACTTGTAAAATTGTTGTCATCAAATTATTTTTTACGTTAGAATCATCTAACCTTAATTCAAGTTTGTAGGAAGCAAGCATGAGGTGTAGAGACGCAAACACCCCAAACACGCGTCAGGCCTGATATACTGTTAAATCTGCGTCAACTACATCTTACTTTTTCACCGAAAAAGTTCTTAACTACCTGATCAATTATTACATAGAGGATATTACACGGCGGCGCGAAGCTATGACTTTTATCTTCGAGTGCATGGTTAAAACAATATTTTACGAACGAGCGCATGCCAGCGCGTAATGTTCTGTTTATTATATAGTCTCAAGCAAAAAATTGTGAAATTTCACGCTCGAAAGCAAATTGGGTAAAAGTCACGTGATCGATATATTCACTAGTGAAGATATGGAAAATATCTCACGGTGTCTTTTTCAGTCGCACTCTCTACTATATATAATGAATCCAGTTAGGCTATGTATCAGCGCGGTCAAAGTGTCGTCATTATAATTTTGAATTGGTGGCATGTATTTATACTATAAACTGAATTAACAGTTTTTGAATTACCACACAATTAAACGTAATATTATTATTATGTAACAAGCAGATATTAACATGCAAGCTGAAATTATGAGTGCAATTTGATAAACAATAGGAAACTCTTCAGGAGCCGGCTGTTCCAAAGCCGATTAGTTTAAACCTAGGTTAACGTAAACTTCTAAGCCAACTTCCCAACATCTTGTCTATAAATTTAGAAATGTCTCTTCAGAATTCTTGGCTGGATAAATATGAGTCGACTTCCCTGAATTTTTGACATAAATAGACGTATCCATATTCCTGGTTTGTTAATTGTAGCGTATTTTGCAATTTTTATGGTTTCTGGCTAATATATGCCAGTAGGAAAGACGAATATTTATTTATCAGCTTTATTGGACACAATATAGTAGAAATATTTACAAGTAATAAGTCCAAAGGGACGAAAGGGAGGGGATAGCGCAACGGGATAGCGCAACGGAGCAACGAGAACAGAAACAGAATAGGATATTTCATTATTGCCATGATCATGAAGATAACTTAAATATGATGGTTCACTAACTTATATAAGTACGGCGAGCAAAGTAATTTCTGATTATCGCGTACGGATAATTGTATACGGTAGGCCTATAAGTGGAATCTTTATCTTTTAAAATGATTCTGTTTAAACGAATGTGTTAACTGAAGGATGGTGTTTGAAAAATTGTCCTTCTCTTATATTATTGTAGTTAATGTAAAAATGGATACTTCTATCAAAGAGAACAAATTATTTCTTATATGACTTCAGAATGACATTTCGTCACAACTTTTTTCTTCAAGATTGGTTTAGAAACAAACATGCATGCAGTATGGTTAGGGTTATAGAGTTGGTGTTTATAGAAAGGGTTATAGTGTCAGTAAAACCGTTGCTTTGTTAGCCTACGTTTTGTCACTCTGAGGCCAACGAAATAACCTCTTGCCTACCAAATAGAAAAAGCA